AGGTCAAGAACGTCGCGACGATTGTTAAGAGGTCACGAACGTCGCGACGATTGTTAAGAGGTCACGAACGTCACGACGATTGTTAAGAGGTCACGAATGTCGCGACGATTGTGAGAGGTCACAAACGTCGCGATGGTTGTTAAGAGGTCACGAACGCCGCGATGATTATGACGAGGTCACGAACGTCGCGACGATTGTTAAGAGGTCACAAACGTCATGACGATTGTTAAGAGGTCACGAACGTCGTGACAATTGTGAGAGGTCACGAACGTCGCGAAGATTGTTAAGAGGTCACGAACGTCGTCACGATTGTTAAGAGGTCACGAACGTCGCGCCGATTGTTAAGAGGTCGCGAACGTCGCGACGATTGTGAGAGGTCACGAACGTCGCGACGATTGTTAAGAGGTCACGAACGTCGCGACGATTGTTAAGAGGTCATGAACGTCGCGACGATTGTTAAGAGGTCACGAACGTCGTGACAATTGTGAGAGCTCACGAACGTCGCGACGATTGTTAAGAGGTCACGAACGTCGCGACGATTGTGAGAGGTCACGGACGTCGCGACGATTGTGAGAGGTCACGAACGTCGCGACGATTGTTAAGAGGTCACGAACGTCGCGACGATTGTTGAGAGGTCACGAACGTCGCGACGATTGTTAAGAGGTCACGAATGTCGCGACGATTGTGAGAGGTCACAAACGTCGCGATGGTTGTTAAGAGGTCACGAACGCCGCGATGATTATGACGAGGTCACGAACGTCGCGACGATTGTTAAGAGGTCACGAACGTCGCGATGATTGTGAGAGGTCACGAACGTCGCGACGATTGTTAAGAGTTCACGAACGTCGCGACGATTGTGAGAGGTCACGAACGTCGCAGAGCAGTGTGTAGGGTGGTGAACGGTGTACCGTAGGGTAGTGTAGCATGTAGTGTATAGTAGCATGTGTGCATGTGCATTGAACTCCGCTCGCATTGTCCGTAGCCAATCGTGCTCATCGGAGGTGCGGGGGGAGAAGGACAAGAAACTGAACACGAAAAGCAGTTCTCAAGAAATTAGTTTGTCAATCTAGATGATTTAAGAAAGGTTTATTGGGCTAGATCGCGTAAATATCACTGTGACGTTGAATATGTGCCGTTGGAGTACTCGAATTGTAAATGTTGTGGGTTTACACGGCAACACACGACCGGTGTGTGCTGAGCTAGTAACTAATTGGGTACAGTTTTGTTGAAGTGACAAACCCTTACGAATAAGTTCAGCACTAACTGGTTGTGTGCTGGATAAGTAAACCCACTACCACATTTACAATTATAGTGTAGTGTATAGTAGTGTAGTGTATAGTGTAGTGTATAGTGTAGTGTATAGTGTAGTGTATAGTGTAGTATATAGGTGTATAGTGTAGTGTATCGTGTTGTGTATAGTAGTGTATCGTGTAGTGTATAGTAGTGTAAAGTGTAGTGTATAGTGTAGTCCGTAGTGTATAATGTGGTGTATCGTGTAATATATAGTAGTGAGGTGTATAATGTAGTGTATAGATGCAGTGTATAGTGTAGTGTATAGTGAAGTGTATAGTGTGTTGGAGAGTTAACTCACTACAACATTTACAATTCGAGCACTGTAACCTTTCGCCGGTAATTACAACAACAACAACCAGCATCATAAGGCGACATCTATTGTTGTAATTAGCTGTGTCAGGGTGGTGGCGGGTTTAACAACACGTTTATATTTGCGTGATCTAACCCCCAAAAAACCCTCTAATTATGGATAATATTGGTCGCGAAAGCCTTCGAAGTTAAACAAGATGATTTCAAAGTGCACAGCGCCAGTGGCTTCCTAATATCGGAAAGGAAGAGTGTTCCAGACGGCCGTGACGGCAACTTGGGGGGGTGGGGTGCTTAATCCAGCTGCGGATTGAGCGGAGGTGGAGGTGGTGGAGGTGGCGGTGCAGGTGGCGGTGGAGGTGGTGGAGGTGGAGGTGGTGGGGGGTGGCGGTGGAGGTGGTGGAGGTGGCGGTGGAGGTGGTGGAGGTGGCGGTGGCGGTGGAGGTGGTGGAGGTGGCGTTGGAGGTGGTGGAGGTGGCGGTGGTGCAGGTGGAGGTGGCGGTGGAGGTGGCGGTGGAGGTGGCGGTAGAGGTGGCGGAGATGGAGGTGGCGGTGGCGGAGGTGGAGGTGGCGGAGGTGGAGGTGGTAGAGGTGGCAATGGAGGTGGTAGAGGTGGCGGTGGAGGTGGCGGAGGTGGCGGTGGAGGTGGCGGAGGTGGAGGTGGCGGTGGAGGTGGTGGTGGAGGTGGTGGGGGGTGGCGGTGGAGGTGGCGGAGGTGGAGGTGGCGGAGGGGAAGTTTCGCCTTCGCGAAGGTGAAAGGAAAATATTATTTTGCATAAAACATGACAACTTTAATAATGTATGCGTTTATACATTCACAGTCGGGATTAATCTGTTGTTGTTGTTGTTGTCGTTGTTTGGGTCACATTCAGCCATGGCCCTCGGGTCACGAACATTTTTAGCGAATTTTTTTTTTTTGAAACTCTCTCAGTATTTTCTTTTTCTTCTACTTTTCTTTCTTACTTCATTCATTGTGCGAGACCCCATGAGACCGACAAGACAGTCCCCGCCCCCCGCCCCCCACCCCAACACCGCCCAGGGGGGGGTCCAGCATCCTGAACGATCGGTTCGCGTCAACCGAAAGCGCCGCCGGGGCAGCCGCGCGCAACTCAATGACCGTCGCTCCCCGCGGCCCCCTTTCGCCGACGCGCGAGCGCGGGAGCCCTCGGAAGCGACGAGGGCCCGTCTAGGGGGCCCCCGTGGCAATGGCGCGTCGTCCGGCCCACGCATCCGCATTTCCGGCCAACTCGAAAGCCGGGTGGCAGGTACGAAGGCCACGTTCTTCACGTCGTAGCACGAGTCGGTGGCCAATCGGCAGCCCCCCCCCCCCCCCCCACTTCCACCACCACCACCACCACCGCCGTATCGACGAGCCCACGGTTAACGAAAAAAATGCAAAGAAATGAAACGCGTCCGTGTCGTGAGCGTACCGGGCGTTGAATCGGCCACTTTTGTTGCCCCTGTCGTTGTTTTGTCCGCGGTGATTTGACGGCGCCGCGCCGGCCACCCTGGTTAATACCGTGGCTTGTTCTGGCACGAGAACCCCTACGCGAGCCCTCTCGCTTCGCTGGTGGACGTCGCGGATGCCGTGGACGTCACCCGCAAGGTCGGTGGCCGCTCTCCGCCGTACACAAATTGCCGGATTATGCTCGCCTCTAATGCGAGAACGTACGACGTGCATGTTTCAAAACAACCACGTGTTTGACGATCGCCAGACTGACGCGGCAGCCTCGGCGCTCTGGCGGACGCCGAATGACGCGAAGGCAGCGTTCGCCGGATCGCACCTCGTATATTTTATGTTTTTATTCCATGCTGTGTCAACCCACACGGTTTAACCCCGTATTCTTTTACGGGGGAATTGAGTTTGCAGGTCCATACGGCGTACAGCCGTTTCAATACGGGCAAAAGGCCAATCAAACAGTTTTTGTTTAGTGACGTAACTTTTGTCAATTTTGTTTGTGTTTCTCCCTTGTGATGGGACCTCGTAGGATGAACGTTGAGATTCATAAGGGCACGGGGTGACCAATACGGTCTGAGTTGGTATGTAATAATAGGGGCACTGATAAGGCATTGACTGTACGTTATTCGCTATTAGTCATGCAAAAGGTACACACGTGCAGTATTTTCATCGTTTAAGTTGTATGTATGTAGTGTAAAATGTACGGTATATATCATATTTTACACTGAAATCAAGCGTAGCTATTTGTATATGTCACGTCACACGGTGCCCATCGCCGGACTGGGTTACAGTCTTTGGAGCGGTTTTGCCGGATCGGCCCGGCACCGGGACCGCCGGATAACGTCGGAAGCCGGATAATCGATTATCAACTGCAATAATGGTAAGCAGCAAGATTGTGAACGTGAAGGAATTTGTATGGAGTACTTGGGAGGTCTCCTGACAAATGACGAAATGTGCAGTGGACACCAACGGGCTAGCTGCCCATGCTATGTGCGAATTACGACGATGATGACGACGATGATGACGATGATGACGACGATGATGACGATGATGACGACGATGATGACGACGATGACGACGACGATGACGATGATGACGACGATGATGACGACGGTGATGACAATGACGACGATGACGGCGATGACGACGATGATGACGACGATGATGACAGAGATTTTTTTTTACAACCATTATTATTCCCAGGGTCGAAATTCATATTTGGTGACTTTATGTTTTACACCTTTGTTTCCTGCTTTCATGGAGCGTGACGCATTCGGGTGCCGATCGCCGGACTGGGTTACAGTCTTTGGAGCGGTTTTGCCGGATCGGCCCGGCACCGGGACCGCCGGATAACGTCGGAAGCCGGATAATCTGGATTATTATGGTGTTTACGAAAGTGTTTCTCGCAAAATGTGCTAAAGATGCCCTCCGTAGTTACGTACTTGCTGGGGACGTGTTCGCGTTTTTGAGGATAGTTCTGGAAAACCACCTTAACACTTTTATTATCTCTGGGTTTAATAAAGAGAAGTTAAGTCTTGACACTCGCAAAAACCGAGGGACCTCGAAGAAGTTCAAACATCGTATTGTTGGTGCCGCGTCATCAAACCGATCCCTGATAGCTGCGTCGCATCACGTACGCGCGTCCGGAGGAGGGGTTAATAATCCCAAATCCAGAACACGTAAGCAGAACGTGCCAATCCGTTACGAGTACAGCAGTACGAAATAGCACGTTCTACTTACGTGACAAACCTTACTAATTGGCTGTGTCGGGTGGTGGCGGGTTTAACGGCACACATTTATATTTACGCGATCTAACCCCTCCCCCCAAAAAAAGCCATATTACGTATGATATTGGTCGCGAAAGCCTATTGCGTGTTCAACTAACAACCAGAATCATCAGGCGACAGCCAGTCCAAAATTCTCGCCCCCCCCCCCCCGTTACCTGCGCCGCCTGGGCACTGGCAGCGATCGCCGAGACCCGGGGGAGCCTCGGAGGGGGCAGCAGCTCCCTCGGGGGTCTCTCCGTCGCCGGGGCCTTGGACCCCCGGAGACCCCCCTCGGGGCTGGACGGCGCCAGCAGTGGCTGCCCGGGCGACACCGTGGGGTCCGTGCGGCCGTGCACGCTGGCTGTGGGGTGCGGGGGGGGGCGACAGGCAAGCGCACGTGGGCAAGAAACGGAAGTTGTTTTATTTCGTTAAGGCCACCCCCCCCCCACCACCACCACTACCACCACCCACCCATCGAGCTGCTTACTGTGTGTAGCTCTTTTTTTGGGGTCTTTTTCAGAAGCGACCTGGGCCCCCCCCGCAAGTGATAGCTCAGCCAAGCAGCTTACGGTCGTCGTCGTCGTTGTCGCGTGCAAATTTACTCCGTACAGGCCCGTCGCTTGCAAATGTTCGAGGAGAAAGAAGACCCACGCGGCCATGGGGAGAGAGACGCCACGAAACTCCAAATATACAGCAGCAGGCGTCAGGGTCGGGATGGAACCCACGACCTCCTGTATACCAGGCGAGGTCGTTAACATCTAGCCACCGCGATGATGATGAGAGAGACACGCACACTCCAAATATACAGCAGCGGGCATCAGGGTCGGGATCGAACCCACGACCTCTTGTGCACCAGGCGAGGTAGTTAACATCTCCTAGCCACCGTGATGATGATGAGAGAGAGAGAGACACGCAAACTCCAAATATACAGCAGCAGGCGTCAGGGCCGGGATCGAACCCACGACCTCCTGTACACCAGGCGAGGTAGTTAACATCTCCTAGCCACCGTGGCGCCCCAAGTGATCGCTCAGCGTAGCGGCTTCACCTCGCCGTGACCACATGGATATCGCAGCCAGATACTCCGCAAACGCGACGCTTGCTCCCACGGTGGATGATTCACGTGGCCACCACCGCGGGCCGTTCGAGATGAAGCCACGGGCCGCGCGTCCGGCCACGTGGGCCCGTGGCTTCCCATATTTGGTTGAAAGCGGTTCCTGGGCAAGTGGTGATCGGGGGGTAGGGGTGGGGGGGGGGAGTTATCTCGGAGCTTTTTCATCTCGCGATAAGCGAATTCGTGTTTTTTTTGGTTGCCCGAAGAAGCTCCTGCGTGCACGTGCGGCGAAACGTCGGACATCGTCGCGCCGAATCGCGTGGCCGCCGCGGGCCGTACGAGGTGAAGCCGTGGGCCCCTGTGTCTGGCCCCCGTGGGCCCGTGGTTTCTCGTATTCGGCTTCAGGCGGTCTCTGGGACGTTTGGCGCTCCAACGCGTTTACTCACGCGTCTTGTCTGACGCGGGGGTGGGGGGAGGAGAAGTGGGGGGGGGGAGGGGTGGGGGGGATGGATGGGGGGGAGTGGGGGGAGGGAAGGGTGGGGGGAGGGTTAGGAGGGGAAGGGGAGTGGGGGGGGAGCTTCTTCGGCAAACCGAGGTGAAGTCAAGCGCTCCAATAATTGCCCTCCTTAAAAACATCCGAAATTCCCCGGGCACTTTCAACTCGTGACATTTCAAGTCCGGCACCGAGGCCACGCGCTCCACCGGCGGGCGTGCGGCGGGAACCGTCGGACTTCGCCTCGCCTCCGAGGCATCTGGGCAGCGTGACGGCCTCAAAGTGCACCTAGCCTGGCACAGGCGGTGACGTCACCGCCACTTAGTGGCTGCTGCGGCTGTTGTTTGTTCTGTTGGTGTTTTCCTGTTGTTGTTGTTGCTGTTGCTGACGCTCGATTTCACCTCTTCTTGTTGTGCGCTAGTTTGTTGTTGTTTGGCCAGCGAGAGTGATTGAATTCACCCTTGAGTTGCCACACTCCGTCTTGCGCGGATCGATTCACCCCCCCCCCCCCGCGCCGCCCCCTGGGCCCCCATTGTAAATTATCCAAATGCCTCGGCCACCCCCCCCCCCCCCGCAGAGCCCCCCAGGACTTTAAGCCTCACAAACTGCAGGCGTCCCCCCCCCCTCCTCCTCTCTCTCTCTCGACTCGCGAACGCGACGCTGTGTTCAGCCGTCTGCGCACCTCTCTCCCGGCAGTCGTCCATCAACACTGCAGCCGCTGTGATCTCATTTGATGTCGATGTGGGGGGTGGGAGGGGGGTGAGATACACACGGTAAGATGGGGGCGCCGCGGTGCTGCGATGTTAACTACCTCGCCTGGTGTACAGGAGGTCGTGGGTTCAATCCCCGACGCCTGCTGCTGTAGATTTGGAGTTTGCGTGTCTCTCTCTCATCATCATCGTCACGGTGGCTTGGAGATGTTGACTACCTCGCCTGGTGTACAGGAGGTCGTGGGTTCAATCCCGACTCTGACGCCTGCTGCTGTATAGTTGGAGTTTGCGTGTCTCTCTCTCTCTCATCATCATCATCACGGTGGCTAGGAGATGTTAACTACCTCGCCTGGTGTACAGGAGGTCGTGGGTTCAATCCCCGACGCCTGCTGCTGTAGATTTGGAGTTTGCGTGTCTCTCTCTCATCATCATCGTCACGGTGGCTTGGAGATGTTGACTACTTCGCCTGGTATACAGGAGGTCGTGGATTCAATCCCGACGCCTGCAGCTGTATATTTGGAGTTTGCGAGTCTCTCTCTCACCGTTGTCACGTTGATTTTTCTCTGGGTCCTCCGGTTTTTCCCCTCCACATTTCGAATCAACACGATGATGAGCCACTTTGTGATAGCTTCTGAAGAAGAACTGTATAGCTCAGTGGGCCTTACCTGGTAAAAAAATAGTTAAATTTATAGTTTCGTTTAGATCTTTTAAACGTGTTTGGTGCACACAAATTAAGCCCTGGTCCTGGGTTTAACGCGGACTCGATCGTGTGAGGAGCTCTCAGATCCTTGAAAGTTGTGGTCACAGTCCACCCAATTAGCTCCTCCTTTGGCTGGGTCACGTAGCCTGCATGCCCAGCCCATTGCACGGGTGAGCGGGTGGGTGAGTGAGTGGGTGAGTGAGTGGGTGAGCGGGTGGGTGAGTGAGTGGGTGAGTGGGTGAGTGATTGGGTGAGTGAGTGAGTGGGTGGGTGAGTGAGTGGGTGGGTGAGTGTGTGTGTGTATCACACGTTGGCTGGGTCGTGTAGTCTGCATGTCCAACCACGGCATGGGTGAGTGAGTGGGTGAGTGAATGGGTGAGTGGGTGTGTATGTGTGTGACATGTTCCTATTAATGATCTCCTCGGGCAGGCGAGGCTGCGTTGGCTGGGTCACGTAGCCTGCATGCCCAAGATGGCATGGGCGAGTGGGTTTAGTGGCTGGGTGAGGTAATGGGTGAGTGAATGATGAGTGGGTGGGTTATCGGGTGTCTGTGTGTGTGTGACGCGGTCCGATTAATGATCTCCACCGGCAGGCGAGGCTGCGTTGGCTGGGTCACGTAGCTAGTATGCCCAACAATGCCATGGGTGAGTGGGTTTAGTGGGTGGGTGAGTGAATGGGTGAGTGAATGATGAGTGGGTGAGTGTGTGTGTGACACGGTCCCATTAATAATTATCTTCTCCGGCAGGCGAGGCCGCATTGGCTGGGCCACGTAGCCCGTATGCCCAGGTCATGGCATGGGTGAGTAGGTGGGTGAGTGGGTATATGTGTGCGTGTTTGGACGGATATGAGTTTGCTTGCACTGAATTACTGCTTAAGTTATGGGCTTGACAAAAGGCAGTGGTGAGGCCGGTATCGTTGTGTGCGTCAGTGAAAAAAAAACCCCAACCCTTTTTATATTTTACGTGGAGAGACGCAGAGGAATGGAGACATCGATTGCTCATCTATATCTCGCGTAACTAACCCTTTGCTTCGCGTGTGTATGTTCATTTATTTTATTTTACCAGGTAAGGCCCGCTGAATTATATATCACTATATATATTTGCAGAAGCGACCTTGCAATCGCAAATGACAGCTCAGCGAGGTGGGCTTATCGTCATCGCTGTAAGAAATACTTTAAACGCGCGGCGTTGATTCTAAATGTGAGAGAGAGAGAAAAAACTTTTGAACGCTTCTGAGAATTTCCAACAATACCACCAGAAATGTGCTGCCGCCTTTCGGGTTCCGGAGGCCACCTGGAGTAGATTCCAGGCACAACGATGGCGAGCAAGTGGAGGCTCTTTGACTTTTTGAAGCTATTAACATTACAACTGTTACCCTGTATTATCCGTTTATTAAAAAAAATAATCAAAAACGATAGACCCATACGCGTGTTAGCAAAAATTTTTTTGAAGCACCCTGTACAGCAGGCGTCAGCCAAGGTCCGGATCGAACCCCACGAACCTCCTGCAGTTCCACTTTCGCACAGATTCATAGCAGCAGATGAAAGATATCGATTAAGATTCGTCATCCACTCAATTGGCTGCTCCGACGCAGAGTGGCTGCCCGCCCCGCTGCCTCACCGCAGCTGACGGGCGGCACGTGGGGCGAGTGGTACAGCAGAGCGCTGAGCGTGACGCACCACCACCACCACCACCGCGACCGCGACCACCACCACCGCCGCCGGCGGCAGCAGCAGCAGCAGGAGGAGGAGTAGCGCCACTGCATCCTTCTCCGCCCGTCGGTTTTCTTTTCCGCCGCCGCAACGCCTCCTCTGCAGAGAGAGGAGAGCCGCACAGAGAAGCAACGCGGATCACGCGTGGCCCCGGTAGGTGGCTTGTCTCATCGTTAGGCTGGGGTGACGGCTCCAGACAGTCTCGTCCCTTCACCTGATGAAGGCCGCTTGTGTTGTGGCCCAAGCGTCGTGAGAATATCATTGTGTTATTTTATTTTATCAATGTATTATTTTATTCTCATTCTACGTGACTTTACCGAAAGAACCAAAGAAGAATAACCATATAGGTTGAGACACCAAACATAATCCTTTTTTGCAAGGAGCCCCCCTGCCTGTGTTAACCGCACGCACTTGTGGTGAACACGCAAGCAAAAACACGCTGCGATCAAGTTTGACTTCAAACTTTCGTGACTTGCAGGAATTAACATTCATCGGTTCTTTCGGTAAAGTCACGTAGATAGAAAAATGATAATAATAGAAAAGAAAGTTAATAAAAATAGGGAATACAATGAAAATTAAATAAAAAACAGAAACCACGACGTTTCGATCGCAACGCAAGCAGTCGTTATCAGGAAAAGCGGTGGGGGGGGGGGGGGGTTTAGCCTCTAAAGTAAAACTCTTTGTAAAAGTTTAGAGATGGGCGTAGCCCAAGTGTGTCAACAGCATGGGCGGGGCAACTTATGTTAATGTGGCCCAAGTGTGTCAGCAGCATGGGCGGGGCAGCTTATGTTAATGTAGCCCAAGTGTGTCAGCAGCATGGGTGGGGCAGCTTATGTTAATGTAGCCCAAGTGTGTCAGCAGCATGGGCGGGGCAACTTATGTTAATGTGGCCCAAGTGTGTCAGCAGCATGGGCGGGGCAGCTTATGTTAATGTACCTCAAGTGTGTCAGCAGCATGGGCGGGGCAACTTATGTTAATGTTGCCCAAGTGAGTCAGCAGCATGGGCGGGGCAGCTTATGTTAATGTTGCCCAAATGTGTCAGCAGCATGGGCGGGGCAATTTATGTTAATGTTGCCCAAGTGTGTCAGCAGCATGGGCGGGGCAGCTCATGTTAATGTAGCCCAAGTGTGTCAGCAGCATGGGCGGGGCAGCTTATGCTAATGTAGCCCAGGTGTGTCAGCAGCATGGGCGGGGCAGCTTATGTTAATGTGGCGAGGCAGTGGGTCTCCACCAAAAGGGCCTCTGGGCAATTATTGCACCTCGCTCCCACACCCACACTGCTGACGGTGGAGGTTGACAAGACAACACAAATCAAGTCAAGAATATGCTCTGATCATATATGCATTGTCTTTGAAACAATACAATGCATATGAAGGGTAAAACCTGGTCTTATTCATCACCAACAATAAGAATCTCAAAAATACAGGAAGAGGGCCGACCTAAATGTGGACGCATCGTCTTGAGCGATGCATCATCATCATCAGTACAGAACTGACTAAAGCCGGGATCTTTAACGCTTCCAAAAAGAGTCTCAAGATGCAGTGGCGACTCGTGACGTGTCCGCGAGGTTGGGGCTGTTGCGAGTGACCTCTAAAAAGATGGAATTCTCATTAAGAAAAAAAAACCTCGTCGTGTTTTTGGCCTTCCCGTGAAAGTGATATGCCCGTCTTGTCTACCAGCGGCAGGCATTCATAAACAATACGAAACACAACAACAGAGCACTCAAATGCTGTCCCCACGACCCTCAAGTCCACACTCCACAACCCCCTTTTGACACTGCCGAAAGCCGTGAGCTGCCGCATTCGCGCAGTGCGACCTCGCGTCGTGACATCGTCTCATCGCAGCCACGGGCGACTTTTTTTCCCCACCGCGCTGAAGAGGTCTGAAACGGCGTGGCTGCAGCGCTAGAGGCGAATCGCAACGAACGAAGGGGAAATCTCTCACTCGGACGCATTCACAGCCGCCCCGAGACCTCCGCGAGGCACAAATCAGGCCGCGGGACGTTGCAGCGGTTTCTAATATTGTACCTTCATTGGGTACAATATTAATATCGTACCTTCATTGGGTACAATATTAATATCGTACCTTCATTGGGTACAATATTAATATCGTACCTTCATTGGGTACAATATTAATATCGTACCTTCATTGGGTACAATATTAATATCGTACCTTCATTGGGTACAATATTAATATCGTACCTTCATTGGGTACAATATTAATATCGTACCTTCATTGGGTACAATATTAATATCGTACCTTCATTGGGTACAATATTAATATTGTACCTTCATTGGGTACAATATTAATATCGTACCTTCATTGGGTACAATATTAATATCGTACCTTCATTGGGTACAATATTAATATCGTACCTTCATTGGGTACAATATTAATATTGTACCTTCATTGGGTACAATATTAATATCGTACCTTCATTGGGTACAATATTAATATCGTACCTTCATTGGATACAATATTAATATTGTACCTTCATTGGTTACAATATTAATATCGTACCTTCATTGGGTACAATATTAATATCGTACCTTCATTGGGTACAATATTAGAAACCTTCATTGGGCAAAATTCACGCTGAAATAATCATTGCATATTACATATATGATAATTGAACACAACAAAACTATTTATTAGAAAAAAATGTTTTTTTTCCGCAAAAACAATTTCTCATCTACCCATTTGGTGGGGCGGCGCCTCCAGCTCCCCTAGTGGACGAACCGCTCCAGCTGCCCCGGTTGGCGTGAGTTGCCGATTTGCAGGCGGTGGTGGTGGTGGTGGAGATCGGGAGGGTGATGGGGATTTAACAAAACTATAATAGAAGGGGTTTTTTTTGAAGGGGGTTGGGGGGGGTGTTAAACCCCCGCCACCAACCCGACACAGCCGATTAGTAAGGGTTTGTAAATGGAATGTAATTGTTGTGGATTTGCTCTCCAACACACTGACAAACCGTAATCATTGACTGTGTCGGGTGGTGGCGGGTTTAACGACACACATTCGTATTTACGCGATCTAACCCCCCCCCCCCCCACAAAATAACACCTGTATTATGGATGACATTGGTCGCGAACGCCTACTGCGTTAAACTAATCAGGGTTTTTTCACGTGACACAAAACGTGGCCAATTCGTAAACCAGTTCAACACTGCACTGTTACGTGTCGCTGGTGATTACAACACCACCACCGACAACAACCAAGCTTCGTCAGGCGATAAGCCAGAGGGAATTTGATGCCATTGCCGTGAAGCTGTCAGCTGTGAAGACCGGAGGTGGTGGTTTTTTATGTAGCCACAGACATTGCGATGGATTACGTCGATCTGAGAATGTGCAGTAGTAATGATTGAAATGTATAACGCTCATTCCATCCTAGGATCCCAATGCGCGATGCATGAAAAGCAGGAAACTAAAAGAGAACCAGGGGCAAGCGACCCAAGCTAGAGAGGGAATGCCACTTTAAAGAGATGGGTTGTCAAAGCAGATTTAAGTACCTATTGCATTGGTTGGGTTAATCACAGTTACTCAACACACCGTGGATTATGTTAATCTACGAATACGCGGTATCGATTACCCGTTGGGTTAATCATAGTTAATCGACACACCGTGGATTATGTTAATCTGACGATGCAGTCCACGTGACCGCTTGGGTTAGTCAGAGTTAGACCCCCTCCAGCTGTTACGTAAACTTCGCCTCGTTGCTCTCTCGACGTTCTCAATCTTTGCTCTCTCTCTCTCTGTTCCTCCGTCTCCTCCTTGTGCTCAACGCACGCTTTCTCCCTTCTCGCACCCCTCCCCATCTCCCCACCGTCTTCACCTTCCACGTTAAGCGGTCACCATCGCTCACTAAAGTTTCCGCTCCTCACTTTGCAAGCCGCTTCTTGAAAAAAAAATCGCAAGCACCGCACGTGGCTAATGCAGTAAACTTGATTCCTCGCAACAGCACAAGTTTACATTTGATGTTTGAATATAATTACACCAAATTTATTGTTTTTCATTATTTGATGCTTACTGGTAAAAAAGGTCCCCATGATATAACTCACGGATTGTTACTCCCGCTACTCTTCCCTCCGCATCTTCTTACTCATTCACCCCCATTAATTTAATCAATTCATCATCATTTACAATCACAATGTTAATTGTAATCATACAAATTATTGTATGTTATATTATTATAATGATGCTTATACTAATCATAATTCTCATTGCATGGCTACAATGGTGGAGCCAGGATTCTCAGGTAGGGGGGGGCAACCCCTCCAGCAATGAAAAATGATAGAGGAGTTGTTAGTAAGTAAGGAGTTGTTAGTAAGCAAGGAGTTGTTAGTAAGGACTTGTTAGTAAGGAGTTGTTAGTAAGGAGGTAGTAAGTAAGGAGTTGTTAGTAAATAAGGAGTTGTTAGTAAGTAAGGAGTTGTTAGTAAGTAAGGAGTTGTTAGTAAGGAGTTGTTAGTAAGTAAGGAGTTGTTAGTGAGTAAGGAGTTGTTAGTAAGTAAGGGGTTGTTAGTAAGGAGTTGTTAGTAAGGAGTTGTTAGTAAGGAGTTGTTAGTAAGGAGTTGTTAGTAAGCAAGGAGTTGTTAGTAAGGAGTTGTTAGTAAGCAAGGAGTTGTTAGTAAGTAAGGACTTGTTAGTAAGTAAGGAGTTGTCAGTAAGGAGTTGTTAGTAAGTAAGGACTTGCTAGTAAGCAAGGACTTGTTAGTAAGGAGTTGTTAGTAAGTAAGGCCTTGTTAGTAAGGAGTTGTTAGTAAGTAAGGACTTGTTAGTAAGGAGTTGTTAGTAAGCAAGGAGTTGTTAGTAAGGAGTTGTTAGTAAGTAAGGAGTTGTTAGTAAATAAGGAGTTGTTAGTAAGTAAGGAGTTGTTAGTAAGCAAGGAATTGTTAGTAAGGAGTTGTTAGTAAGTAAGGAGTTGTTAGTGAGCAAGGAGTTGTTAGTAAGGAGGTAGTAAGTAAGGAGTTGTTAGTAAGTAAGGAGTTGTTAGTAAGGAGTTAGTAAGTAAGGAGTTGTTAGTAAGTAAGGATTTTTTAGTGAGTAAGGAGTTGTTAGCAAGGAGGTAGTAAGTAATGAGTTGTTAGTAAGTAAGGACTTGTTAGTAAGTAAGGAGTTGTCAGTAAGGATTTGTTAGTAAGTAAGGAGTTGTTAGTGAGCAAAGAGTTGTTAGTAAGGAGTTAGTAAATA